TGCTGTCAGTCTCAGACAAGACAAAATCTGCTCTCATTTCATTATTGTTTGCAACACAGCAATTTAAAAGAAAATAAGGAAAACTAATAACATCAAGAGGTTGGATTTAAGAAGGCTCAAAAAGGATGAGAAAGTGGTGGAAAGACCAATTGGAGGAATTCCAAAGAGTGAATCTATGGGTGGTTGCAGACATAGTTGCTATGAAGAAACTGAAGAAGGACTATGCACTACATTCACAGTTACAGACAGTATTGTTTGTGACTTTGGTTATTGTCATTTCAATACTGTTAGAAGGATGAAAGCCTAATTGAAGACCTTCTAATAGAATAATAGATTCAGACATTATAGTAAGCAGAAAACAAGATGTTCAAGCATTTTGGAGAGAAAAGGAAAGAGAGTTTGGGAGAAGAGACACAAGAGATTGGAGTCTTAGTAATGTTGAGTTCGTGGTGGAAGAGAATGTTACAGAAATCAGAAGGGGTGAGTCCACGTGAAATAACTGCCCTGGGGCCAATAACCCATCGCCAAGTCACCCTTTATTTACATGTGCACAGTGCACTGGTTGTGGTCAGCCAGCTTGGAGTCAGTCCCTTGAACTGAGGAGATTCTGTCTCCCCTGTTTATATGTATTTTTTAACTTTTTTTACCCCCTACACTACTGCATAGTGCTTATATCCCCAGCACCTATGTTGCGTGTGTATGGGTGCAGGACACAGTGAAAAACACGAGTTGTGTAGATAATCCCCTGATTATATTGGTCAGCCAGGGTGTCCTGATTGGCCCAGGTTAACAATCCCAATCAAGGATCTCATAGGTAACAAGATCTACCTGGTTCCAATCACTATACCACGAACTAATTTAATCACAAGGATGAGATTTTAAATTCAAGGCATTGGTGGATTGAAAGACAATGTAACTCAACAACAGCATGGCTTGATGCAGAATAATCAGATGCAGATTGCTGAGCTTGGTTATGATGAAGTTTACATGTCATGTAGGATGTGGGATGAGCCAGAATACCCATTGGAATATTTGCAGTGATAAGGATACGAATTTGAGATTCTGCAGCAGATGGGCTGAGGTCATAACAGAGGTTGGTAATGTGTTATGTCTTTGTGATGGAGTGGATAAAGAATAGGAAACTCAGCTCCATAGAAGAAAATGCCTATATTGCAAATAGTTTAGTCTGAAATATTAAAGGGATGGCCTTTAGCCGGGCAGAAACAATGTTGTTCCTTTGTTCTTGGGGCCGCATGGTGGCATAGTGGTTAGCAGTGCTGCCTCACAGCGCCAGGGACCCGGGTTCGATTCCACCCTCGGGCGACTGTCTGTGTGGAGTTTGCACATTCTCCCCATGTCTGCATGGGTTTCCTCTGGGTGCTCCGGTTTCCTCCCACAGTCCAAAGATGTGCAGGTTAGGTGGATTGGCCATGGTAAATTGCCCATAGTGTTCAGGGAGGTGTAGATTAGGGGGATGGGTCTGGGTGGGTGCTCTGAGGTTCATTGTGGGCTTGTTGGGCTGAAGGGCCTGTTTCCACACTGTAGGGATTCTGTGATTCTTAGTGATGAGGCATGGCATTTGTGGTGGGGGCTGAAGACAATTATTATAAGTCTTCTCAATTTTAATTGGACAAGGCTACAGCTCATTTAAAACTGAACATTCACAAGCAGCCTTACAGCACAGCAGCAGTGAAGGGTTAGAGGGTAATTGAGAGAGATGGTGAAAGACAGACCTAGGTGTTATCAGTCTATATCAGGAATCTGATAGCATCGTTTCAAATAATGTCACCAAGGTTCAGTATGTAGATCAAAACGGGGACTGAACAATACAGGTCTCTGGGGACGATGGTGTGGAGCTAAGGTGAAGGCTGGAAACAAAAACAATTGTTGGAGAGTCTTTAGTTATGACTGTTTGTTTAGGCACAAATGGGGCCAAACAAGGTGAATTCTGTGGAACTGGCAAGAATCAAATCATATCATCTGTTGTGTTAAAGAAAACAAAGAAGTAAAAGAGACTGAGGAAGGAATATGCACCATAATCACAGCTACAGACAGTATTGTGACTTTTTGGTTATTGTCGTTTCAATACTGTTAGAAGGATGAAAACCCAATTGAAGACCTTCAAATAGAACAATGGGAGATACAGACATTATAGTAGGAAAGAAACAAGATGTTCCAGGATTTTGGAGAGAAAAGGAATGAGAGTTTGCAATGAAAGAAGAATGGAGATTAGATTTTTCTCAAGGACAGGATTTTGAAAGTTAGGAGTGTAACCACTGATGTTGAATTTCAAGGTCATGCAAACATCAACTAAGACAGACAGAAACTAACTAGATCTTCATGTCTTGTGATACGATCAGGACTCCTCGATTAATTAAAGTTTCTTCGCCATTTACAAACTATATCATTGTGTATATGTGTTTGTATCACGTACGTAGCTTACTTTGGGATATTGCCCTGCCATGATGGATCTCAGTCCGATCTCTGTCATTTTCCCTGTCAGCCTCCTCATGATTTCTATAGCACTGGTTCCTAGGAATTTGAAACACGACTAATGAAGGATTAGAATGTTTTGCATTTGTGAGGTTGCAGATGTGCAAATTAAATTACTGATTTGGAATTCAAAACAGTAAGATTGGTTTAGTTTAAATATTTTATATCAAATTTAGATGCAGCCTCAATTTGTAATTTTACTTTCATTTTGTAAACCAATAGTTTACACTTAGTAAAATAGAGAGGCTGTTAAGATGCAGCAGGACAGATTAAAATACTGAACGGAGAGAAACAGGGACTAAGTGTGTAGCAATAGGGTGAACTATGGAATAATATTCCTCTTTTTGCTTCTGCCTACATTGTATATGTGACTGAATTGTACATTGAGTTAATCTGCATGCAGCAGAAGCCTGAAAAGTATCTTTTCTTTCAGCAAGTAAAGAAATTACAAACAAAAAATAGACTTTTCCCAGCAGGGAATATGAATCTAACACTGATTTTTGTTTTGAATGCCAGTCAGTCCACAAAGCAATTTTACCAGCAAAATTAAACAGAAAGTGTCTTTGCTTTCATCTTAAAAATATTCTGCTATAAAGATTAAGATGCTAATATTATGTAATCATAGGACTGGCTTTCAGTTCTATCCCATTATACATTAACTATCATCCGGAGTATTCTATTGACAGCACAGAATAAGGGTTAAGCGCTAAGTAACAGCAGTAGAATATTAATTGTAGCAAAATGTATGATACACTAGATGCAGTGGGATTCCTAATACACCCAAGCTGTGCCTGTCAGGAACACTTACTGCAGTATCTTGTTGCAGTGTCTATTACAGACAGAATTCACCATATCAAAATCCTGATGGGATAGTTATCCAGCTGAGCAAAAGGATTAATGGCTTCTCTGATCTAATGAGGATTGGTTTCACAATTGACACTGCCACCACCCGCCCTGCACTTCCCCCAAATGCCAGCTTCTGCTGCCTCCGCCAAAATGCAGGACCAAGCAGCTGGCTGGCTTCATGCAGTGACAGGGTGACTGTTAGCCCTCCAGAGCTGGTGAGAAAGAAGACAGTGCATGTCTGGCAACCACAACTTGCTGGATGAATTCAAATTAGGCCCAATCATGAAAATAGCTTCAGCTATTAGTCTTATGTCGTGTCTAGTTTGGGTTAGAGTTAAAATGGATTCTCACGATATTAAAACAGGTGATTAAATTGTAGTTCATTCATTACTATTTGTTTCTTCACTTTAAAAAAAAAATGCTTTATTCAGATAACTGGATTAGTCAGTATAAATAGGACAACATGGAAAGGTAGCACTAAAAATTTCAAAATGATTAGTTTTTTTTTCTTTCGTTTGAGAAGGTGGTGGTGAAACATTATTAGATAATTCAAATTAAGCAACCTTGCACAGAGGAATGGATTTATTCTATATGACAAGGTGTTGCATTTGCATTTGTTATACATGAGCTAGACTTTGAAACTCGAAGTGGCAACTGTCAATTCCTGAAAAACAGTAAACATCTGGCGGGTACTTTGGACATCTTTTGACATGGCTGATTTCATTTTCAACAGGCCTTTAAGTGAGTGCGCAATACTCTGGCCCAAAACAGGTGGGAAGCTTTCCGCATCGAGTGCTATGGTTGTAAATCTCTGACCGTGATTATAATGGACAAATGGGTGCAGCATGCACCTTATCTCCAAGTGTCACATCTGTTGGGCATTAAGCAGCTTGACAGGGAGCTAGTTAGCTTTGGCATTTTTCAAAGGATCTGTGTGTGCCGAAGGATTTTTCATGCTCCTCCAGGCCCCAAAACAGTCTTGGAGAAACTCAGCAGCTCTGTTAGCATTTCTGCAGAAAGAAGCGGACCTAACGTTTCAAGTCCAATATCTTCAGAGCCCAGACTAAAAATCTGGAGTGCGGGCAGCCATTGTTAATTGTCAGCTTTGTGGAGCTGGGATTTCCCTCCAATTCTGCATCCCCAAATTTGGAATAAAAATCAAAGCCATTATGCTTTTGCATTGATTCAGTCTACTACTCTCCAAAAACAAAAGCTTAAGAATAAGATGTTACATTTTCAACACCTAATGAATGTTCATTAGTATTGCCAACTGTAGAAATTACTAGTTAATTTTTGATGAGCTTCGTTCGTTATAGATTTAGTGGATATAAGCAACTGCAGTTAAACACAGAGAGGAACTGAGTTAAAAGTGCAGAAGTATTTTTAAATGTTTTGGAATACCATTGGCATGACTGATTAATATGGCCATGTTCTTTCTCATGAAGAAAATCTTCGCCATTAGCAGTCAGACCTTTGAATTATGCAAGAATAAACTGAAAACTTTCCACCTGAATAAAATTAAAACAAGTAACAAAAACCACTTCATAGAAACCTTTCTTGTTACACAGCATTCAACTTTGTTGCAAAACATTTTAGTTATCCTACCTGTTTATTCATATATTATGTTATAACAATATTTTTTCTTATTTTGTTTTTAATAGTGATACGAGTATCAGTCACTAGTAAAAGTTTGGTTTCTTCTAACAACATGGAACCTGATACGATCCAGTATGCAGTAAAGCAAGAAAAGGTAAGCAAAGGTTAAAGTGTTTGGCTAACAGAATGGGCATTCAGATATAAATTGAAAATGAAAAACATTGAAAATGCACACCAAGTCAGGCAGTGGCTCATAGACAAAGACAGGTTAATGTTCCGACAAAGAATCTGATGCAAATTGTAACTCTGATTTTCTCTATGAAACGATGGTTGACCTTGCTATGAATTTCTAGCATTACCTTTTTGTTTTGTTTGGACTTTCGAGAATTATTGTCTTTCTTTTTTATCTTAGACCTTTACATTAGCTATAATCGTACACAATACCATATCATGGTGCTTCGAAATATAATTATAATCCAATTATAATTTCCATAATTTAGGGCATAATTATAACTTAAAACACCTGTACTAGTTCAAAACAATAATTTGCCAAAATTACCACAGCTCGATCTAAGTAGTCCTTTTAATGTTCTTTGATTTTTCCATTTTCAAAATAAATTTCTGCATTATCACTATGTAGAAAAGTTTACTAAAAATTTATTTTTCCATTGTATAAAGTCACAATAGCCCTACTGGACCATCAGACTGCTCTTTCAATAGAGAGAGAGATGACTAGCTTGTGGATTAACCTGAGGGTCACCACATCTCAAGCAAGGAGAGAGATTGCGAAAAAATGCCCTTCATGATAACCTCAGCCGGTGTGTGAATTGAACCCACACTATCAGCATCACAAACCAGCCATCCAGGCAAATAAGCTAACCAACCTACAAGTGCCACAGTGGTAATGTCACTGGATGAGTAATCCAAAGCCATAAGCCAATGATTTGGGAATTGGGTCCAATTTCCACAATAGCAAATGGTGAAATTTGAATTTAATGAAATCTGGAGTGGAGAGCTGGCCTAATGGCAATTGTGTAACAACTATTGATTGTCATTAAAACCCATCTGGTTCAGTATTGTTTTAGGGAAGGAAATCTGGCATGCATGTGACTCCAGACTCTCAGCAATGTTCATGACTCTTAACTACCCTCTGTCTAATTAGAGATGGGCAATAAATGCTGCCAGCAATGCCTGTATCCCACAAATGAATTAAAAAAGCCTTGATTTTTAATAAAGCTTATTTGTCACAAGATCAGCAATATATTTAGTTAATTAGATAAGTCTTATAAATTGATGTTGAATAATATTAAGCATAATTATATTTGAGTAATTTACTGCAAAGATCATTCTAATGCATGAACTGACTGCTTTGCGCATACATATCTTCTTAGGAACCCTAACAATGTAAACAACTCCACAATGAATTCATATTTTCATCAATTACTCATATAGGAAACTGCAGGTATTAATTAGAAATCTGTAGCTTTTCTCATCAAGATTTAGTATAATTTCAAAGTTCTGTCTTCAACAGAAGAAAGTTTTAGGCTGTTTAAGTGAAATATTTGATTATGATAAAGCAGTCTAAAAGTGTATTTTTTTTCTAAGAAGCATTAATGTTCAAACCTTCACCAGATTTACGAAGGATTTGAAAAGACGAAAATGGTGGAATATGTCTACACAGCTTCTAGCTCTGCTGCATGTGGTGTAGAGCTCAAAAACAATATTCAGTACCTCATAACAGGTAAGATAAGTACTTAGTGGGATTAGTTTCATTGTTTGAATGCCTTTGTTTATATTACATTTAAAACAGGCAAATTTCCTGTGATAAAAGCAAAATTCTGTATTTGTTGATGATTTGAAATAAAAATGAAAAGTGCTGGAGAAACTGAGTAGCTCTGGCAGCATCTTTAGAGACAGAAAAGCAGAGTTTCTTTGGAACTGAGGAATAAAAGTCACGTTGGACCTGTAACATTAATGCTGTTTCTCTTTCCATGGATTCTGCAAGATCTGCTGAGCTTTTCTAATTTTTCTGCTCTTAATTCAGATCTCCTATGATGTAACTAAAGTGAATGATTTATCTGGACGGCGGATGAGATGGAGGAGAGTGGAGAGGACTGAAAAGTTGAAGAATCATACCAGATTCGAAAAGTTAACACTGAGTTTCTCTCTCCATAGCTGCTGCCAGATCTGCTGAGTTTCTCTAGCATTTTCTGCGTTTGTTTCAGATTTCCAGTATTTGCAGTGTTTTGGCTTTTTATGAACTAGACTTTAGTTCTGAAAGCGCAACAACATTGTATTCCCAAGTTTGCACGTCTAATGTAGCTCCAAGAGAAGCTGATTGCAATTTTTGCTCATACATGTATTAAGTAACAATATATGGACACTTTTTTTTTTCCTGCTTTAGGCCAACTTGATATTCAGGGAAAAGTTCATATTGGGATTTGTAATTTGATTGTCCCATGGGATGATCTAACTTCATTGCAAAAACGGAATCTGAAATGGAACAAATATGAAACAGGCTGCTCCTGTCAAGTAAGTCAAATTTCTGGGATATTTTTCCACCTCCTTTCTTCTGTATTTTCCCCCAACACCTCTTGCTATATGGCACTAATTGTTGCAATGGAACAGTGGAACTAATAACACTTCAGTAGAGTGCGGCACTCCTTCATGTGAACAGAAACTGTGAATGATGACAAGTACTACAGAGGTTAATACAAGGTAAGTAATCCTGTCCTCACTTGAAATGTGTGCTTTCAACCAGGATTACTATTAGCAATCAGGGACAGAAACCCTGGCTGGTTTGTTCCCTCCCTGGTAAATGCCAATCACTGTTCTCAACACCGTAGCCCTCTAGTGCTTCAAGTGATCATCTGAAACTTTTGTTAAATGCTGTAATGGTTCCTGCCTCTACCTTTCAGGCAGTGAGCTCCAGATACCCACCACCCTCTTGGTGAAAAAGAAATCCTTCTTAAATACCCACTAAGCCTCCTGCCTCTTACCTTAAATCTCTGTCCCTGAGTAATTGGTCCCTTTAGTAAGGTGAAATGTTTATTCCTATTGACCCTATCTCTGCCTCCCATAGTCTTGTAGACCTAAAACAGGTGGCCTCAGCCTTCTCTGCTCCAAGAAAAACAAGACTAGCGTATGAAGTCTTGTTTCACAACTTAAAGGCTCCAGCCCAGGCAATGCCCTGGTGAATCTTCTCTACACTCTGTTCCGAGTAATCACATCCTTCTCATAGTGTGACAACCTGAAGTGCAACAGTCCTCCAGCTGTGGCCTAACTAATGTCCTCTACAATTTCATCATAACCTCCCAATTCTTGTATTCCTTGGACTAGTGCAATTTTTGTGCGATGTCAGCTATCTCTGTAATAGCCTTTGTGCTCTTATCAGCATGTTAGAATTTACGATTCTGATCAACTTTTAGCCTTTGTATTGAAATTGTTGATATAAATTAGTTTAATGCATCAGACCCCTAGGCCTGTGTAATAGCAACTGGTTCCTGAATTCTTTATTAGCTGATATACTGGAGATAATTACCAAAATAATTCATAAACCCAAAGTGAACAGAATTTCAGACTCTCCAGAGTTAAATCGGAATTAACTCAACCTTACTCTGTAAGATCCACAAGTATTACATGTCTATATTATCTATAATCTGAATTGATGTTTGTAAAACACTTACACAACAGCATTTTTACATTCCTGTTCATCAGATTGTCAGCTGCCACAGCCTACCATGCCCTTCTCCAGCAAAAAACCAGTGCATTTGGACTGACCTGGCAACCGAGAAGACCCCAGCTGGATCTCAGGCAAAGTACAGTGTCTGCATGAAGCAAGATGATGGTTTCTGTCACTGGTATGGAGAAGGATCAGCCAGTGCAAATGAGAATATCTATTACAGTGAACCCTGAAATCTCCCTTCACCCCATAAAAGTTGTGTTTCTCCATCAGCTGCAGGTGGTGCAGCAGTATCAAAGATCTCTATGTTCTTCTGTTTATACAAACATTTTGTCGGTTTACTGCATTCTTGTTTGCTATGTGAAGCATAGCACTTCCTTCATTCACTCTTACCCTAATGAATGAAAAAATTATGGCCCTTCATTAGATTCTACTGCAATGATAGGTTTTATCACATGAGGCAAACTGAAACATAAACACCACCACACTTCTTGTGAAAAGTATATTAGCTCTGTATTTGACTGGTGAATTATCAAAACCTTTCTGAGTGGAACTAGAAAGAAAACGTACCTTGGTAATTAGGAATGATGCTGGATTAATTATCTTTTTTGAGACTTTTGGAAATCAAGGTTAAAAATCCAATGTGCAACAGTGTAATTTTTGCGCCAATGGTGATGAGATTACAATAAAAATTTGTTTTCTTTTAAGGCTGTGCTACATACGAAAATATATTAACATGTGGTTGACAGCACAAAGAACACATCAGCTGCCTTTATGCGTGATAGATCAGGACAAATGAACATGATGAGTGGTAACAATCAAAAAAGGCTGTTTCTTCCTCCCTTTGTTCCATGAAATGTTCCTTTTTTTGAAAAAAAAACATCCTTTTGAGGGACAGAGTCCTACTAAAAGGTAATTATGTTTGTTTTCAAAAGTTTAGTACCAAATAAAATGAATTAACACATGACCTTATTAACAATCTTTGCCCCATTGCCCATGGTGAACTATAATCTGCGCTGGCGCTACAAAGGATAAAGTGGGGCTACAGCCAAATGTCATACACATGAGCACAATGCATGCATGCCAGATCTTAAGTTATCTCAGATATATGTTGTGTAAAAAAAATGTTCAGTGTTTTATCATTCACATACTGTAGCAAGACCAGTAACTTCATGCATTAGTTGCTCCATCAAAAAACTGGTTCTAACCACTTTTTAAGAAGATAATATTTAGAAACTATGTATACCTGAAAAATTCTGGGAACAATTACAAGGATAGAACATCAAAATTATTGGGAACCATGAGGATGAGCCTTCATGCTTGGATACTAGAATGTAAACACCATAAATTTCTCATTGAGAATTTTTGATTGCTCTAACTTTCTAGGTGCAAAAGGGAACAGGGAAAATTGTTTTTTAATTAGAATATTCAATATAATTATTTGACTAATAATTGTTTCAATGTTTCTTCAAATTCAGTAAAAAAAGCACAAAGCTGAAATTGGCAATATATTCAAATTTAAGATCAATTCCTTTGCAGTTCCTCCTTTATTTTCACTCAAAGCACACAAATTTGATAATGTACTCATTTGCAAATAAACTGCTTTAAAACATAGATACAAAAATGATTCTCATATTTGATATTTGATATTCTCATATTTGTGCATTGTAAGAATTATACCATCTTGTCAAGTATCTAACAAAAAGCTTTCGTATTCATTTTAATAAATGTGATGTGAGATTTCTGTAATATTTCTGAGACTTCAGTCATGCTTTAATTTGGAAGTATCTAAGGGTGTCTGTCTGTGTGTGTGTGTGTGTGTGTGTGTGTATCTTGTGTTTTGTGTGTGTGTGTGTGTGTGTGTGTGTATTTGTGTGGAAACTCATTACCAAACATTAACTGTAAATTCACGTAAGCCTGGTAAGAATCACTCCACTTCCTTAAGCTCACTAAACATAAGCACAAGTTGTTAAGCTAAGGCTTGGAGCTCCTGAATCCATCCATAGGTAATTCTAGGATTTAACTAGCTATAACTATCCATCCTACCAGTGGAGAGACTTGGAAGTTTTCCTGTTTGTCCAGCTGATCCCATCCCATTCAATAGGGCTCAATCAAGCAACACTTCTAGCTACTCCATATTTTCTACAGTTTTGAAGAATGAGACATGAACTCATTTAAACCTGCAAAATACTTAAAGGGATAGACAGGGTAGATGTAGGCATGATATTACCCCTTGTTGGGGAGTCTGGAACCAAAGGCACGACTCAAAAATAAGAGGGATGTAATTTAGGACTGAGATGAGGATAATTCTTTTAGTGTAGTGGATCTTGGAATTCTTTACCCCAGATGGCTCTGGAAGTCCAGACTTTGAATATACTTAAAGTAGGGGTTGATAAATAATGATTATTAATGGTGTAAAGGGTTATGGGGGATAGTGGGCAGAAAAGGATTGAAGTGCTTGATCAACCATGATTATATTAAACTGTGGAACAAGCTCAATGGGCTGATTGGCCTATTCTATTTCTATGTTCCTATGTTCAATCATTAATAAGATTCTGATATTGTGGCTGGCCTGGCTTTGGTTCAGGTTACCAGGTTTTCATTACCAAGTTGTTTTTCACAAAGTTTATCCACTGCCCTGAATAGTCAGTAGTTGGTTCTTACATAATGGCAAGTGTTGGTGCTCAGCTTTTACAAGGCTTAGTGGCCCAGCAAGCAGCACAATTTAGCACAGAATGTGTAATAATGATTTTTCATTTGCAGAACTCCATCCGGCTCCTGTTATTCCAAATCTCAGCATTTCTTCATGAGACATATGATAGGCTTCTGCCTTCAATATGATAAAACAGCATATACCAGACAGCTTGTGGTGTGACATGCATGTCACCTTCATGTTATAAAAGCACAAGGCAGGTAACTCTAACTTATGATTTTGTGTGCTCATTAATGAAATCTAATGTGCCAATATCCAAAAGTGTAGTACAAACATGTGTACACCATAAACATAGCAAATTGAAGTACAGAATGAGTTATTTCATTTATCAAAGTATCAAAAAGACAATTCTTCATAAATTTACAGCAATGGGACATTTAGATGGCATAATTATAAAAATTCAATTGTGTGCACAACTCATATTGCCTTGAATATGTCTTGAATTGATTTGTAGGAATTTTAATGAGATAACAAGGCTGTTGAAGGCCACATTTGAAGTCCTACATTTCAATTATGAAAGAACAAAATGAAATAGCCTTACCAAATGTAAGATATAATTTCTGAGGAGTCCGTCCTATCCCTTACTAATCCTTCATGTTGTGGTAATCATTAGTTGTTATAAAACAGCTTTTTGAACCCTCTACATTTGCTGCACCTGAATACTGAAGTCAGTGTATTTTTAGTTTCAGAATCTTATCATAGTCTTTCCCACATAACAAAGAAGAACAGACCAGACTGACACTTACCATTTCCTTATGATTTGGATAAAAGACCTGTTCAATCAGTGGAAACTTCTCTGGGCCCATGCTTTTGTAGATGCTTACCAACTGAGCAAACTGAAACAGAACAAAGCCATCTCATTGTCAGTAAAGTCAATAGCACTTTTGTAGATTTTGCCTCTGCCATTTTATGTTTTTATTTCTAAGAAGATCGCAGAAGATGCAAAACATTTTAGAGAATAAACAGCTCTGACAATTTGTAGTTGTTGTATTCGAGAAGTACTGGTTCAAATACTAAGCTTCTCCAGTTCCATTTGTCTTTTCAGATTTTGTTTTATATCAAATAATGACAGTCATAAATCAAAATCACATTTTTCCAGAACATTAAACCATTTTTATTTTATCTAGTTTTTCATTTGCTAAACATTGCCCTTTAACAAAGAAAGAGAGATTTCTCATTCAAGACCTCTCAATATTTTTGGCCACGAAGGCCAAATCCTCCCAGGTACTGAAGACATGTGCGTTGGTGAGAAAATTGGGAAAATTGCATGAGATGGACAGTGAGGAGCTTCTTGACATTGAGATCACAAAGTCCCATTTTCCAACAAAGTATTGAATGGTGATTCAAGATTTTCATTAGTGAGCTGTGAGAGGCCTGTTGTTATGTATCAACATTCTGGATGGAAATGAGATGGTGACAAATTCAGACATGAATGGCAGGACTGTAATTGCTGACCCCAACTTGGCAATGGCTCCTATGGCCCTCCATCATGAGCAGTGCTTAGCAACATTTTAGGGTATACTCAATGGGCAGTGACCATCCACATACCATCGTTCATGGTGGTTGGCATCAGACACATACCAACCTTACTGCTTCATCATGGCACTATCTGATCCTACAATGAGGTCCTGCACTCCAATGCTGCTATCATCGGTACCTATCATTGTAATATTGCTGCAAGGACACTTTGCACACAGCGGCAAGTATCCATCTCATGGATTCGACCAGGGTGCATCTCGGGGATCCTTACTCATTCTCTTAGAGCTTACTCCTTTTGCGCTTACTTCGATGTCCAGAGTGTCACTGCCGTTCTATGCTCTGCTATGCCTCACCCTGCCTTTCTGTGCTATGCTACATTAGCTATGACTTAAAAACTCTCAGTACATCTGTCTTGCCCTGCCTATTCGCGCAGACACAAAGCCAGGCAGCTTGTTGTGGTTGTCAGCGGTCAGTAGTCAAGGGGATGGAGATGATGCTGTACTACACTGTTCTACATAATGTTACACCATATGTTAGCAGCTTTCACAGCAAAAACACTGTTTATTCTACAATCAAAAGGCCACGTCTGAAAATCTACAAAGCGTAGACTTCAGTCAATTCAAGGGAGGCACATTTGAATGTTGAATGTTTGGCACCCCATCACTTATCTTGACTTTTTCTGCCCTCTTGTGGCCTATTTCTCCTGGAATGAGACAATAGGATGGTTTGAGTGAGATGAAAGTGGCTGGCACAGCTGTTAGAGCTGGTGCAGGTAGGGGAAGAAGTGAGACGTACCTGAGTGAGTAAGCAGGCAGCACAGAAGTCATGTAGGTTTAGTTGTTTGGGTGGATTGGGTGGGTGAGAGTAAGTGAACAAAGATTTTGCATGTGTCAGTGAGAGTGGTAGACCATGAGCCTTAGTGGGATGTGTGTACAGAACAGTCAGAGAGTCATAGAGTTGTGCAGCACGGAAACAGACCCCTCAGCCCACTTATCCATGCATACCAGGTTTCCCAAACTAAAATAGTCCCATTTGCCTACATTTGGTCATATCCCTCTAAACCTTTCATATTCATGTACCTGTTGAAATGCCTTTTAAATGTTGTAACTGGACCTGCATTCGTCACTTCCTCTGGCAGTTCATTCCACATACGAACTACCTGCTACATGTGAAAAAGTTGCCCATCAGGTCCCTTTAAAATTTTTCACCTCTCACCTTAAAATTATGCCCTCTAGTTTTGAACTCCCAAACCCTACAGAAAGGGCCCTTGCTATTCACCTTACCTAGTGAAGTTGCAGATAGAAGATGGTGGCACTTAGCCAGGCAGACTGCAGAAGATCATTGACCTTGTGGAATTGCTGGGCAATTCTCCAGACCATGAAAACAGTACTGACCAATGTGGCAACATCTGACTAGGCTGGCATCGTCTGGTGGCACTATCTCCTTTATCAGTCTTGAGAGAAGAGGACAGCCCTCTGCTACACCAACAGCCAGTGGCTCAGTGGTTAGCACTGCTGCCTCACAGCGCCAGTGACCCAGGTTCAAATTCACCCTCGGGTGACTGTCTGTGTGGAGTTTGCTCATTCTCCCCGTGTTTGCGTGAGTTCCTCCGGGTGCTCCGGTTTCCTCCCACAGTCCAAAGATGTGCAGGCTAGGTGGATTGGCCATGCTAAATTACCTGTAATGTTGAGGGATGTGTAGATTAGGTGGGTAACAGGGTGTGGGTCTGGATGGGATGCTCTGAGGGTTGGTGTGGACTTGTTGGGCCGAAGGGCCTGTTTCCACACTGTAGGGATTCTATGATTCTATGACAACTGGATCCCTGTTGGCAAAGAAGGGTGCCAATTTCCCTTTTTCAGGCACATCTGGGGCATTTCACTAAACTATGCAGTGCAAATTTAGTGTGCATAAACAAATATGTTTGAGATTGACAGCGCTCAACTGGGCTTTAAAGATGGCATCAGGAATCCTGAGAGATCCCAGCAGTGGTATGTCATTCCATCTGAGAGAGCGAGCGGCAGAACATAATGAGTGGGGTGCAATGGGGCATGGTGAATGGGTAATGAGGAGAGTTTGAAAAGTCTGTTGTGAGACATTGGATCAAATGCCTTTTGAAAGTCCTTGTATATCACATCACCAGTATTTCCTTCTTCAACCCTTTTTGTTACCATTATAAAAACTCCAGGACGTTAGTTAAATGTGATTTCCACTTTAGTAATCCACGCGGGCTCTCCCTAATCAACCCACCTTTTTTAGTTTGGTTACCAATTCTATCCCAAATAATTGTTTCTAGAAGCTTACCTACCACAGATGTTAAACTGACTAGTCTTTAATTAGTGCACTTATCCTTATAACTTTCCTTGAACAAATGTTTCACATTTGCAATTCTCAAGTCCTTTAGCACTTTCCTGAGTCTGAGGAAGATTGAAATATTATGGCCCATGATCCTGCAATTTCCATTCTCACTTCCTTCATGAACGAGACTGCCTGAATATGGAAGGCCAGGGACTGGGAGGAGATGGGGCAGCTTTAAATGCAATTTAAGATACAAATGTATAATGTTAAAAATGGGGGAAAAAGTCTTCAGATACTTATATACGTACAAAGGTCCCTCAGTGCTGATGTTGAGGACTTACCCTTCACAGGTCCCTTCACAGCTCTTTGATACTTATTTCAGTTTGGCTAGTGGTGAGAACTGGGAACGTTACAGGCATGAACAGAACTGAGCCAATGTGACAGTGAACGGAGGTAGGTCTTCAACATCTACTGACTTCAACATCCATTTGCCTTTGTTTCTACCTCACTCCTGTTCAGGCGGTATTGGCCCCAATTTCACTGGGACTCTGACTGCCTGAGGAGTAAGTTTCACATGTGTGTACACTCCTGCAGATCTCAGGATTGCAACTTCAGGAAATGGTCCAGTTCACATTGCCCAATTCTATCATGAAAATCCAAGTTATGATGGTCCTTGGAATTTTGATATTTACCCTTAAAGTCATTTAGATGAATTATTAAGAAGGAAGTGAATTAGTTCTCCCATTACTTTGAACTTACCACCCATGGCTTGTCACAGAAGTTGTAGATGGATTCTAATGAGTTCACACTTGGAAGGCCTCCATACTGAAATCCTATAATAATATTCCGGAAATCTTCATTTTCTGCCATGCTGTAGGGATGTTGCCTCACAATGATAAAGTCAGGTTTGAATGATCTGTTGATAAAATCATAAAATAAATCTATGTCAAAGCAGTTTGACAATAAACAATGCATTGTCCTTCTAAGTTGTTAAAGTAGATTCCCCTGCCTTATCTCAGTTTGGTTTTGGTTTCAACCAAGTTGTTTGTTAGCAATGAGCAGAAATCAGATGATTTGTCTCAGCAATAAATGGAAATTCTATTAAAAGTCTTATTAGATATGCACCAAAAATCTTCACTCAATCCTTCCCCTTTTGCTCTCATGTGTGTCCGATTTCCACAATATCTTACAAGCTGATCAAGAAGGAAGTCAGATTGCAGAGAAAACTTACTGGCTGGACATCCCTTGTATTTGAATTTGAATTCTCATAATTGAGGATCTTATGGAGTTTAATGGGCTCAAATACAATCTATGTCTGCTATTATATTCTACCAAGAAAAAGCATCTTGATCCAATTCAGCAACGATTTTGTGTTGTAGTTTTCCTGGGTTTATTGAATTCAATTGTGCAGCACTATATTTTGTGCTATATTTATCATTGGCAGAGGCTTTCCATTTCTAGACAAAGTCTGAAAGTGAGAGAGTTTCCAAGAGGGGAAGACTGTGGTTTTCTAAAGGGAGAAAGACTGCTGGAGCAATTGGCAATGAGGCAGCTGACTACCAGATTTAGGACCCCGCAGTTGGAAGTTATACTGGCTTGATGCTGCTGCCCAATCAGAGGCTGCGGAGAATCTCTCCAAACCCCATCTCTAAATGGAGAATCACTACTGGGAATGTCAAGTGCTTTCTGGGGAATTTCTGGCATTTAAAGTTGAGGGAAGATTGGGATAAGGGTGACAGAAATGAGGGTAGCGAGTTGGATCTCAGGGGGCATCCCACTGCCCTAGTTCCAGTCTCTTGGTTATGTACAAATTAATATTGAGCTGATGCCTGTAGCAACGCAGCTGCTTGAAGAATTAATTAATTTTTATATTGTTTATTGCTACATCACCAAGAATGGTACTTTCATTACTTTGAAACTAAAGTATTGTTGCTGTCTGCTCAACATGAAAGTTGCAGTTTATTGTGATTTGTGGCCACATGGGTTTTCCAGTTGTTACTGCAGTATATGAACATTAAATGAAAAGCTGTTACTGCACCAGCACAGACTCTGCCTGTCTATATTTGCTCTATTTCATTAGTGCTGTCTGTTTCTGTGATCACTTTGTTACCCTTAGAAAAACAGACTCTGTTCCATGATGGGCTCTTGTCATCCTCAGTGTGAACTCCATCTATATGGATCACTGAAAACGTTACATGGTGGCCAAAAAAACAATCTTATCCACCATGACCTACTTGAGCGAGTTGGCAATTGAGGAATGTTAACTTTTCTTGTGCTAGATTGAGGGTGTTTTTACAGTCCTCTGTTATTCTAAGGCAACAAAAGTGAGTTTTTAATCAATATTGCTGAAGTATTCTCAATAAAAGAAAATGACAAGTCAGTACAAGCATTGAACAGGAAGATCAAAGCCGTAATCAATCTATAGAATGCAGTTGTAGGGTATTCCAAAATACAAGTTATGTCAAGTCAAATTAAACATGATGCACGTCAATATTGCGAGACTTATTTTTCCAGCGAATGTTTAATTTGATTAATGGTGAAGCTGAAAAAATGGATTTGAAATGCTAACACATCACAAGTAGGCTGTTGGAGCTGAAGAATACTGATTGACTGCATGGGTGATAGAACAGGAATATTCTTGCATCGTTCAACCTGACAGGTATGAAATGAGAAATACTACAGGGAGATAGAAAAGGTCAACAGCATTTTTACCATGACAAAATTACCAGCATTCAACAGTGATCCATTGTGAGCATGACAAGTGCAGAATCCACAATTTCAAAAAAGAAAGCACAAATGCAGGACTTTAGGAGGAAACCCACAGGGAGAATGTGCAAACTCCACAGACAATCGCCTGAAGGTGGAATCAAACCTGCTGAGCCACCATGCCTCCTATCTAAGACAACAAAGTGCAGGGCTGGATGAACACAGCAGGCCAAGCAGCATCATAGGAGCAGAGATGATGCT